CAGTCAAAGTCTAATAGTTAAATATCTGCATAACTTTTTGTTCGAATAATCATATTTACAATATCGATATAAACAATTCTGTTAAGAAACATACATCAAGTTAACAATATTGCGGGATAATAAATTAATGATTTGCGCTCGGAGAGAAACATACTCGTTACAGAAAATCGAAATTTATACGAGGGAGAGCAATGGTTTATAATGACTAGGTGTAATGAAGATAGTTTGATTCTTAAGATAGAAATCCGAGTGTCAAATGGTTAAACTGGAGTTTAGGGTGCGTACTCACTTCGTTTCCCTTAAGCTCGCCAATTGTTTGTCAACAAAAGAGAGAGTGCCAGAATATTTGTTTTGGATGAGAGTTGAAGATTTTTTTTCGGCGTCGTTTGCGCATGAACCGACAGTGATCCGTTTACCGGTCTAAGCGCATGCCCTTAATTTCGCCTCATTTTCATTGGTCCACTGTCTGCTCTCTTCGATTTGATTGGCCGGCGTACGAATTTGAATAATACTTCGTTTGGAATTTTTGATCATTTACCAGAAGATTTTTTTCAATAACCGTTCGCTTCTCTTCTAAAGATTTTCGTTCATCGAGTTTGCAGATTCTCTTTTTCTGTGTTGCTGATTATGGCTTTCAAATATCGAACAAGGAATGTTTTTCCTGGAAACAATGGTTCCCTTGCTACGCTTCAACGTCTTCAGACGTCGTGTTTATGCTTTCCCTGTGTGTTTTATTTCTCAATGAAAAAGCGAATCTACGAGGGGCCCGCTTTGCTGAAAGCGAAGCTGCTGATGTTTTTTTAAGTTAAAAAAATTTGCCCCGTACAAACTTGCTATGACGAAAGCATTGAGTGCTCAATCTCTCGTTTTGAAATGTCATAGGAGGAGACCTATAAAACCTCGCTGCGTATCCTAAGCGGTGTTTGGTGACGGCAAATAAAACTGCGCCAAAGAAAATTGGCGAGAAAATAGAACGCACCCTAAACTTCAGGTTTACCTGTCAAATTAACATGATAAAGCATAATTATCCTGGTGGTTTGATTTGGAACTTAGGAGAAGAGAAAGAGCGTAATTTGAAAGCTTAGGTGTCTTCCTCATCATGCGACACGGTTCAAAAAGAAGAGGTTTGACCCTTAATATCCAGTGTAGTTTCGAAACGAGTCGTTAGTCTTATCAATCTGAGAAACCGATAATAATATCTCAGTAAATCCTCAGAAATTGGTTTATTTTTCTGCCACCCGAGCTTAATACTAGATTACTTTTAATGGAATCGCTGATTGCAGAAACCATACGAGTCAATATCAAAATGTTGGAAGCTATCGGAAAAACTGATTAGTTTTATAAATCATTGGTTATTTTTTTTACGTGGTAGGTTTTATATATCAGTAATGTGACTTTACCCGACTATTATTATTGTTTCACTCATTATGTTAATACTCTTTCAAAATGTGAAAACAGCATAAACGCACTTTTGAATATTTAAGGAATGACTCGTGGTTTCTGCAATCCGAGATTCAACTCTCTTTTATGAATAGTTTTAGCAACGGGGGCAAAAATTCAGACATTATAATTACAAAACAGTTTAATTATTTGTTGCATATACAATATATATTAGTAGCATACGATATGTTTCTCGGATTCAATTTTAGACAGATTCCATATGCATCCATTTTAGACAAATTCAATATGCATCCATTTTAGACAAATTCAATATGCATCCATTTTAGAAATACTAATATGCGAAACATAAAACGCGTAGATCAGTTTACCGACTATAATTTTTAGAAAGGTGGATAAAATCAATCTTTTCAACATATTAAGAGTTCTATGCTTCAGCTATGGCATTACCTAAAATTTTAGATACGGATTCCTTGCGTTTATGAAAGGCGTTATTACACTGCAGATTTGATTCGAATTTAATGCAAGTATTCTATAAATGCAAAATAATGACGAAAAAGAGGCAAATTACACAGAATATTAAATATTAAAGAATTTTAGGTCGCCTTAATGGTTTTTCTTTTAGCTGAATTGCGTTTTGTAATTAAAGTGCCATTCATCGACGAATTAAATGTTCATAAAATAATCTAGCGCTTCATTTCTACCTAATTAGTTTGTATGAAAAAGAATTATCTTTTCTCGTACTTAACTAAATAAAAATCCGAATATTAATAAAAATCGGTGAAATGAAGTCATTAATAAAATAATCAAGTAAATGCATGAAGCACAAATTATTAATTGAAATAAAATCATCACACAGACTTTGTAACGGAGTTGTTATATATCAGAATAAATTTTTAAATAAATTTTCTTCTTAGTTACGTTACGCATTAGAGCGCAGTTTCAAATATGTGCTCTCTTGCCAAATAATCTGCAGCAAAAGTTTGAGGGACGTGAAATGAGGTTTGGTCTTCGATCGCAAAAGCTTGGATCATTTTACGGGATTCTAAACAAACATTTGATTCCGATTTTATAGGCATCGTTTCTTCATTCGAGAAATCTACTTGATCCCAAATGATTGCACTTCAAATTAGAATGTGATGATGCGCAAGTTAAACTGCCGTTTGATGAAGAAAGTAGATTGTAATAGGACCTGGAATCGAACCAACACAAAGCTGTCTTAACCCGTTAACGTCCGAATTAATTCTGCTAAATATATTTTGAAGAATATCTCTAATCTAAGTTATTATGGTCCAATTAGGGTAAAAAATTGTGAAATTGAAGCAACTCTTGTTAGTTTAGAAATTATAGCCCGTCCTCATTCGGGGACGCTGGGCGTTCTAGCATAAAAAGTCCGTTCTGTTAGTGAAATCGGTAAACTTTGTAACTATATAAAGGTAAACTTTCAGTCTACGATGCCCACTTGCTTCTCGCCAATTTTTCTTGGCGCAATTTCATGTGCTGGCGCCTAACACTGTTTGGGATGCGCAGTGAGCTTTTCATTGCTGTACTGCGCATGCTTCATTTGAAAAGGAGCGATTGAGCACGCAATGCCTTCGGCATTTCAAACGCGTACCGGGCATTTTTTTAACTTAAAAAAACATCAGCGGCTTTGCTTTCTGCAAAGCGGGACAATAGTAGCTTCGCTTATTCATTGAGAAGCGGAAACACAAAATAACATACACAATTCTGAACCTAAAAGTGACTGAAAATGTTCAAAAATGAGAAAAGTGTAGTTAAAACTTCACATACCTATTTTATTTGCCCAATTGCTGTTTACACTTAGGACATTGATATGTGCTTGCTATCAATCCCTGATCCACACACTTCGAAACGGAACTGTTGGCATGTCGCGAGTGTTATGTAGCAGAGTTAACGCAGATAAAAAGCAGTTTAAAATACGAAATAGCTTTAATCCACTTTACTTAAAAAAATAAACATGCTGCTGTCTTGCAGCTTACATACTCACTGACAGCCATCCATTCGACTGCTTGTTTTAAAAACACATATGAACAATATATATAGATTGTAACAACCAATCAACTTCGACTAGTGCCGTAACTTCGGCTACGTCATGAAATAAACCAATGAGATGCTCTTCATTCAGTGACTGAACAATTTCATTTGAATTTCCAACAGGAACCAATGCCATAATCAGCAACAGCTGTACGAAGCGCAAGTAACGAAATTATAAAATCAGACGAAAATCAAACCGGCAAAACAAATTCGATTGAATATAGCAATCACATCAAACGGATCAACGGAACAAATCAATCAAAAAGAATCATAATATCGCGCCATGCGCAAAACACCGATGAACCGATCAATTTCCGCGCATGCGCACATCTCACTCGTTAAAATCATCATTGCGCAACCAAAACAAATATCCTCTCCTCTCCATTCTTGGCGGCAGAGAGTTGGTTATCCTAAAAGGGACGAAGTAAGTGGGCAACGTAGACTGAAAGTTAACCCTATTAATAACGATAAATAAACTGGACAAATTTTACGAAAATTACTTTCAAACATTTCTGTTATACTTAACTGGCACATTTCATTCATAAGACCTTAGGAAATATTATTTATGCCTATTTATTCATTGAATTCTATTTTGAATATTCCGGGTCAACTTTTGACCAATTTACTGCTGTCTTTTTTCGTTTACATTTCATTTTTGATGGAGGTGGTCCTGTACAATATTTATCAGAATCCATATATTCACTGATTTATCTGAAGTTTCAGCTTTTCCTGCTACATCAGATACTGCAGGCATAGTTGTATATTCTTCATCGGAAACTTCTTCATCCGTTTACTCGTCAACATCCGGAAGAATAGCAATAATATCTTCAATTTATTCTGAAAAATATTCTCGAGCTTATGAACGTTGAGAGCCATGGTTTTTACATTATATTTTCCTGAAAAAAATATGAATATTGTCTTTATAAAACGTTGGACGAGTTTTTGATTCAATCATTGCGCACAAAGTACAGAAAACTGACCGATTCTGAAAATTGGAATAAAAGTTAGCGGCAACGCCCAGCGTCCTCGGTTGAGGACAGTTCTAAGCGACATAATTTTTGGAAAGGAAAATTTCAAAGTAATTTACTATCATAGTTAACTTAGAACTTTAAAATAAAGTATTATAATATACGTAACTACTCACCTTTACTTTAGTTGATGCAGCTGCGCGAAAACCAAATGCACCCGAGAGGCTTGAAAAATCGCAAAACGGCGATGTAGATCGCGAAATTATAAACAATAGCAGCTGCAGGGAAATTTGAAGGAATGTTCATCATAACACTATCTTTATTAAAAGAAAACTTTCGAAGGAATCGAAACAACACTGGAATGGTAACGTTACTGCAGAACCCCTTCATTGGTAACGTTGAGTCAATTTGACCCTGGCTCCAAGATAAATCGGTAAACCTAGAATTTGGTGGCAGCCTGCTTCTCGCAAATTTTTCTTGGCGCAATTTCATTTGCCGGCGCCAAATACTGTTTTGGATGTGCAGTAGGCTTTTTATTGCTCTCTTGCGTATACCTCACCTGAAAGGAGAGATTAGCTCGGGGGTGTAGCTCAGTGGTAGAGCGCTCGACTTGCACGTGAAAGGCCCTGGGCTAGATCTCCAGCACCTCCAAGGGGATTACAGCCTTTGCTGCTTCAAATCCCATAACCCCTTTAATTCAAGTTCAAGGAGAGATTGAGCACGCAATGCCTGCAGCATTTCAAGAGTGTGTACCGGAGAAATATTTTAACTTAAAATAAACATCAGCGGCTTCGCTTTCAGCATAGCAGGAAACTAGTAGCTACGCTTTTTCATTCAATGTTAGGAATATAGATTTTTTTAAAAAAAAAATCCGAATACGCACGCATGCCTGCGGCATTTTAAGCATGTACCGAGCAAATTTTTTTAACTTAAACAAGCATTAGCGGCTTCGCTTTCAGCATAGCGGAATACTCGTAGTTTCACTCATTCATTGAGAAACGAAACACACAGAATAACATACATGGTACTGAACCGATATTCAAACCGAAGAATTCCAAATGAAGTTTTATTGAAATTCGAATGAATCGACCAATCACATCGAAGAGATGAACAAAACAGTCCAATCGAAACGAGGCGCAATATAGCGTGATGCTCAAAACACCGATGAAAAGATAAATTTCCCCGCATGTTACTCGTTAAAAACATCATTGCGCAACCAAACAAATGTTCTCTCATCTTCGTTCTTGGCGGCAAAGAGTTACCGATCCGAAGAGAAACGAAGTAAGTGGGCACCGTAGCATATTTACGGATCCTACATAGTAGGGAACGAGATCGCTTCTCATTGGCTCTCAACATCATGTGACTTGGCTTGCTTCTACGTGACGTTGCTAAACTAAACAGTATTTACCAATGCTGAATGTTCGTTCATTATTTTTTTATTCTAAAAGGGGTATTCATCATTTTCTTGAAATATCCAAATCATAATTAGAAAATGTAGCTTTGATTTCTCAATGATGCTATAGCAGAAGACAAAATAATTCAAATCTCACCTGCGCCGTACTATGATGACATTAACGGGTCTATTCTCGTACCCCGGTTGGGTTGGGAGCGTTTCGCCTTTCGACCGCGGGATGTTAATGGCTTTTTCTCGACCGAATGAAGGGGTCTGATTCTCGTACCTCGGTCGTTTCGAACATCGCGCTTTACGCTAGGAAGTGACGTATTTCTGCTGCGCGAGCAGCAAATCAAGCGATCGTCATTGTTTCATGGTTTCAGATTCATTTCGAGTTTTGAATCGCCAAAGGAACTATGGCGAAGCGTACATTTGCTTCCCAATTCGAAATTATGTTGGATTAGTTTGAAAAATATCCACAAATTTTAAGTGGGAAAGTTGATCGCATCTTTTCAAAAGACACCATTGGTAAGAGGTGGGAAGATTTAACTTCTGCTCTTATAAGATGCATTATAATGCATCTTTCTTGCTTTCATAAGTCCATTGTTAAGGGGGCGGGTTAAACCATTTATATTTTACAAAATATACATTTATAATAATATTATACATTTATAGAACATAAATTGGAGTCTTTTTTTTAAATATATTGATGTAATTTTACCAGTTTTCTAAAGAGAGGAAAAGTAATAAACTTTTTTCCATGCCAATTATTTTAACATGAATAAATCTCATAAATTAATATTAAAAACCATTTGTTTATTTTTCCAATTACATAAGAAAATTAAACTTGAAAAAAAAAATTAAATTCAGCAATTTTTCACAACATTAAAAAAATTGCATCTTTACTAAGGAACAAGAAAAATTCCCTTATTGTCAGATTTTGCAATTACTTTGTAAATATTTGGCAAATTTCTTTGAATTAAAACCCAAATAAAAAAAAACTAATGATATATACGGAATGAGGAAAGTCATTCCACACTCAATGTTAAAAAAAATGTTACCCTAATTTAATTTAATAAGAAAAATATCAAGTAATTAAATCTTTAAATGTAATTGATCTTAGCTAATTATCAACTATCATTATTGACTATTTTGATGGAAGATTTAACTACTTTTAAAGATTTAATTACTTTAGAATGTCGTATTAAATTATTAGATAATTATTATTTAAATTCGATAAAAGATTTAACTACTTTTTAAAAAATCTAAAATAATTGATAAATTCTTCTTCAGATTGGTCAAATGGATTACATTTATCCCGATAAACCCTTTCAAAACACAATTAACGTCCTTGCGAATAGCGTTTACACCAGGTACAGAGCTGGCGAGAAATCGGAGTCCTTTTTTCGACCGAGCGAGATCCCAACCGGTTGGAAAAACGGGTTCGAGAACCGCACTTGTCGTTGACGGGCGGAAAAAGTGACGTCTTCCAACCCAACCGGGGAACAACCCAAAGAATAGACCCGTAAGAAGCAAGCCAAGTCACGTGACGCTGAGAGCCAATGAGAAGAGACCTCATTCCCGACTATATAGGATCCGTAAATATGCGGCACCGTATACTCCACATTAACCGATAAATTCATTTTGTAGCACTGGCGCATTTTATGAACACGAGTCAAATAAATAATTTTTAATTTATTAAACTGCAAATTTGTAGCGATAAATCACGTTTTCATAATAATTTCCGAATATAATATTGCGATTTTTAAAGTTCAAAAATAAAAAAGTTAAATAATTTTTTCATGTCATAAACTATTAGGCTAAAACATTGCTGGGTAGCTAGCCAAGTATAAAATGAAAGCAAATGTTAACTTTAAATTTAAGTTAAAAGTAGGTATAATATTTAAATATATATACAGCGTCAACGTCAATGAAGTTCGTTCACTAAGGTTTCTGTAATTAAAAAAATGCGGGGTCATCGAAACGTTGTAAAATGCATAGTTATATGTAGTTGTAGACTATGTACAAATGTCACAACTGAAAAAACAAGGAAAGAACCTAAAGCTAGACTAAAATTTGTATTCTTAATCCCAACGCTTTGCAATAAAGTTCGTTCAGTAGAAAGAGCGAGAATAAGTCAGTGACGTCAGAGGAAGCAAACAGCATAAAAGGGCGAACAATTCGCAATCGTTATCAGTGCTAAGCGTATGCATGGCAAGGGGACGAGCTACTGACCTTGCACTACGCAATAAAATCAAGCAACAGCACCAAAATGGTATTTCTCAGCTCCAAATTGGCCGAACGTTCCGCTTGGCACAATCTACAGTGTGTACTATTATAAAACGTTTCACTACAACTGGAAATAGCCGTCCAGGAAAGTCTCCCGGTCGGAAGCTAACGTTGGCTGATCGGGAAGTACGCCTATTTTGTCGACATATTCGTAAAAATAGGCACATGGCAGTCGCAGACCTAGTCACATGCGCAAGATAAAGTTTCGGAAAGGCCATTTCCGAAGCATCTACGCGTTGTTATATCAAAAGGTGTGGCTACGCATTCTACAAAGCGAGACGTAAGACATTTCTCACTTCATAGAATAAACGTCGGCGTGTTTCGTGGGCGAAATCTTACCTCAGCTGGACTCCATTTCAGTGGGAAAAGGTACTGTGGATAGATGAATCCATATTTGAGGTTTCATATGGAAATATTGGCCGAAAGGTTATTAGGAAGAAGTATGAAGCAAACGATCCATCCTGTTACAAGGGCGTAGTTCATAAAGCAAGCTCTATGATAGTGTGGGGTTGCTTGGCAGCGAATGTTATTGGCAATTTGCATTTTTGTACGGGCACGATAAAGGCTCCAGACTCTATACGTGTTCTTGATGTGAATCTACGTCCATCAGTGCACAGATTGTTTGGCAGAAAACGATATCTTTTCCAACAAGATAACCCAAGACCTCATAGGGCGAAGATAACACGTACAAAATATGTCCCTGTTTTAGAGTGGCCAGCAGCAAGCCCGGATCTCTCTCCTATAGAGAATATTTGGAGAATTCTTAAGAGGAATATGGCCCAGCGTCGTCCCCGAAATATACAACAGTTACAAGATTATTTGCGGCAAGAATGGGAAAAAATTTCTACAGACACATTGAACCGTTTAGTGTCGTTCATGCCTGAACGTCTTGCTGCAGTTATCCGCCGTAAAGGTGACGTCATCTCTTGGTAATCGAACCGAACGAACATTTTTGACGTTAGTTGCGCAAGGAAATACACTTGCAACGTTTATCATAACTATCTGCTTTGTTGCAAACTAACACAAATGCTGTTACAGTGTTGTATTCAACGTATCAAATGGTAAAAAAATGTTTCTTTTGCATATACGTTTCTTTGTGTTTCTCAGTTTCCTCATTTCAAGCTATTTCTTACGTGAACGAACATCATTGACGTTGACGTTGTATTTGAAACAGGAGCATAAGTATTTTTGGAACAAAAGCGACTGTAATACACATATTTATGTTTAAAACAATTGCACAAATATATTTAAAACTAAAGCAAATACATAATTTGAATTTAAAATAAAACCTAAAACACTTTTGAAAAAAAAGATAGTTTAAAATCTGTATTTAAGACAAACAAAAGCAAACATACAATAAGTATAACTAAATATCAAATTATTATTCTTTAGATGTAAAGACAAAATTGTACTCACTTTTGTGTTTTTGTTGGCTGAAAGTAAGCTTCATAAACATGAGCACGTTCGCTGCCGATCAAGTACTTTGACTCACGTTTGTGATTCGGAACTTCTATCAAATTAAATTATTCCTTCTTTACTATTTTAACGAAATTATTGTCTTGTGGGTGTGCGCGAACACAGTCCAATAAGCAGAATTAAAAAATGAAGCTCTTTATTTTACAAATATTCTAAGAAAAGAAACGTAGCACAAGTATTAAAACAGCACTCGTAAAAATTCACCACAGAGATTACCAATAAATCACAACACAGCGCTCAAAGGTTTCTTATTAGTTCACCAGCTTGCCTGCTGATCAAAATCGAACTAACTCCTCTTGACTTGAGAGCTTGTTTTTATACTTTTTCAACAGGAAGTGACTTCATTACGTAGGAAATGACGCAATCTCCAGAAAGTTCATGAAGCCAGTAGAAATAGGTTGACAGTTGAAGGTCTTTCTAGAAAATTACTGTTTTTCGCCAAAGTCGCCAACCTTGCCGCCAAAATGGTCGGCAAGATCGCTAAATATATCGC